ATGACAGTCCAAAAGGTTCCCAGACATGCCCAAACATTCCTTGCCCGGGGGTGGGGGAAGGGAGTGCAGCGAGAGCAGATGCAAAAATCATGGCTTCACCCATCTCTAAGCAGAAGCAGCCAGGCAAAATATCCTCACTGATGGAAGAGATCACGATTACAGAGGAGGAAAAGGGCAGTTCCAGGAAGGACGCAGATGGTAGTGAGGATTACATGACAGTATGCATGTACTTAATGCCCTAGATGGTACACTTAGAAAAATGGGGAAGATGGCTTTTATGTTACATTACTTTACAACAAAAAAAAATTTTGAGAGAGAGAGAGACCATGTGCAAGTGCATGAGCAGGAAAAGGGCAGAGAGAGAGAGAAAGACAGAGAATCCCAAGCAGCTTCTCACTGTCAATGCAGAGCCCAATGCGGGAGTCTAACTCCCAAACTGTGAGTTTATGACCTGAGCCAAAATCAATAGTCAGACGCTCAACCACTCAACCGACTGAGCCACCCAGGCACACTGACAATAAAAATCTTTTTAATTAAAAAATTTACAGCCTACCTTAGGCAAGATAACTAATTGCATTGGTAATATTACTAATATTGGTATGCAATTTTACAACTTTACATGTTTTCTGTATACATACAATATAAACATGATAAATACGCTCTTCATATTATTCTTGCCAAAGACTGTCTCAAGTATGGATTACTGAGCAATGGAGAGCAAAAAATTATTAAGTGACCAAATATTAAAAAACAGAAATCCAGCAGAACAGAAGGAAAAAACCAGTCCTCAAAATCGCCTGCACTAAGAAGTTTACTGCAACTCAAGTATCAACCACTCTTAGCTCTGGTTTAACCAGATGTGCACATGGCTGACACTTCACCTGAACTGGGCTGACCAGCCCTGTGGGCATCTCAAGACGCACAGGTCTCAGGGCACCAATGGTCAAGTGCAGGGGTCCTCGTTCTCTTGCAACATTTGCTTCTTGCCATCAAGAACCAAGCCTGTCCTCTGCAACAGCTGGACACATGTGGCCCTGTCCTTTTAGACCGGAGTGAGAGGGGCCTTTCCCCAGGCCCTGTACTTTCGAGGCCTCCATCATCTTCGACACAAAACAGAAGCATACTGACCGACACGGTTGCTCTGCCACCTGGGACCCAGCTTCGGTGGGGACACATTTGAGCTCTGCAACCCTCAACATACACTTCTGGGACGAACACCTTAGCCCCCCAGGGAAAAGGTTTCTGCACATTTCTTGCCACATGTCCCTGAAGGAAGGTAATGGCATCCAGGTGTCCTGATGGTCTGTCTGCAAACTCTGACGCTGCCAACACCAGATAGACACTGCTGGGGACCGTGGAGACGAAGTGGACAGGACAGAGATGGAGAGAGGAAGACAGGCAAACGAGCACGTCAATCCTTCCCTTCAGAGGGCACAGCTGCAAACAAAATTCACACCCAGAAATGTTGTTTCCCAGCCGGACCCCATGTCCACTTCCCGGCTTCTCCACAGGCTCGGAGGCTCTGGAGACGTGCTCACAAATTAGTACAGTATCTGCCACCATGGCAACGTGACGGGAGGAGTATTTCGCAATTCTCAACAATTCACACTCCTCTTCGGTTTATGCAGGGGCACAACATGCTTCAAGGTCACGGTCCTTTACACTGGCAGCTACATGGAGACTGAGTAGTGGAGAGTTGCAATTGTATCTTTAATACATTAAAGGTTTTCATTTTCAAAAATTAGAAATGTCAGCTTTACTTGAATTTTGATAAAGAATACCTTTACTGTTAAACACACGCAGGCTTACATCCATCCTCTGGCCCTGGCCTCACACGTTCCAGGGCTTGGGTGTGCCGAGACACAGGTGCAACATGTTCCCCTCCTTCAAGCTCACGTGTACACATCTCTCACGCACACTCCCACAGGACCTTGCATGCAGGGAGCACGCGGCTATAGGCCACTGGATAGGAACTCCAGTCACAAAACAATTTAAATGCAAAACCATGGAAATGAGGCAGGGAGGGGAGGGTTCCCTGACACTAGAGGGCAGGGGTTTGTAAGGGAGGTGGAGGCAGGTGAGGGAAGGCTGCCTAGCATCTCTCTATTGGAGGAAAACAAGAAAGGAGCTACACGAATCCCCAAGGTCAGCCTACACGGAGACAGTTGATCCAGTTTAAAAGCAGTACTGGGCTCAGGGCTGGCACGCCTAGATGCCTTGCACCCGTCACAGCTGTGGGGACAAAGACAGGACACGATCTTTTTCCAAGACGTTTCCCACAGGCTTAAATATAAAATCCCTTACCTTGTGGTCAGCAAAACAAGCCACAGGAGGACAAATGGTCGAGGATTCCACTTCTAGGAGAACCCAAAGCAGCCCCACTCAGAGACCGTGGAATAGAGCCATCAGGGCTGCCAGAGAGTGAGGAGTTCCGGTTTTGCGAGATCAAGAGTTCTGGACATGGCTGGTGGGGATGGTGGCACGACCACATGAAGTACAAATGCCACTGCACGGAGCACTTAAAAATGGTTACCATGGTCAATTTCATGTTTTGTGTCTTTGGCCACAATGAAAATAATAAGCAAACAGCCAAGAAGAAACCTCTTGGAGGGACACTAAGGAGCTTGACCACCTTGAGCAGAACACAGGTGAGCAGTAAGATAGAGGCTGGGGGTTAGGAACACTGTTCTCCAGAAGAGAACTCATTTATTTTCGTCCTTTGCCACCACAGTTAAACCCCCACTCTTGGACAGGAAGGGTGGGGGCACTGCCAGGTGGAATTTCCAGCCAGCGCAGTACATCAAGGAAGGTGTCAGCTATGGAGATGTTCAAGCTTGCAGAGGACAGTCCCCAACATCTGCTCTACTGTGTCTGGTCCACAGCTCAGGTTAGTCACTCCTAGTGACCATGGGGAGCCCGCTTTGGACAAACTACAGTTTGCAAATGACCTGGACAGGGCTAGGTATTCAGAGGCCACCAATTCTCAAGAGCTACATATCGGTAGCTCTAGGCACCCATTCTGACTGCACCCTGACTGGCCGCAGAGCAGGGTGGGGGGCTGCCGGAAAGCTAAGATTCGTCCTGCTGGGCAGATGGTCAGCTGGGGAGGCTTGCATCTTCTGTTTCCAGAACACAGATCATTCTCCACTACCTCCATATAACCCTTTAAAAATACCCACCCACTTAAAAGATCAATGAAAATGAGATCTGTTGGAATAGAAGATACACCCTTCAAGTAAGTGAACTAATTTCGTTTTGGGCGTGGGGTAGGAAGTTATTCAACACGATAACCATGATTCCAACTGCTGGGAATTTTTTTTTTTTCCTTGCCTGAGCACCAAGAGGAGGCTAGCCAACTCTGCCTGCCAGGAAGGGAAGGAAAGAGGAGCCACACACACCGTAATGTAAAAATCTAACAAACTCACTGTCCCAGTGTTACCGAGTGATAGGCTTGGGGAGGGGGGTGCAGACAGAAGATGGCAGGAGGAGGGGTTTCATCTTTCTGCTCATCAGCAAGTTAATCACCAACCACAGTAGGTGCTAGGCGAGCAAAGTGTAAGACAAGGTCCATTTCTCAAGTAGGTCATTACAAACTAGAAGACCAGACCAAGGTGCTTGAAAGAAGGGAAAATATCCAGACAGTAAACGATCAAAGGCTAAATGACGTGGTACAAATGTTTCACACCAGTGCCGTCTCAGAGGGAGAGAATCATCACTCCAGCCTCCCCGCCCCCCACCTCAGCAATGCTTGCTCTTGCAACCCCTCCCAACTTAAGCCATCCCAAAGCCACTTCTTGATTTCTTCCTGTTACTCCCTTCAAAACCTGTTCCTCACATGGAATCTAAGACGAGTGATTTCACACAGCATTCATCTTTCTCAGTGGGACTTCCTTCCCTTAGAATACCCAGAGCCTAAGGTATAAACTTATCCAATCATGATGCTGTAAACCTGCGTGTCCACTCTAAAGATTTTTCCTCCCAAAAACCCGTTTCTCTCCCAGCCTCCCCTACTGTAAACCCTGAAGCCCAAAGACCTTTGCCTGTGTCCTCAGGTCACCCACCTGACCACCCCTTCCCTTCAACTGCCCCCAGGTACACAGGCCTCCTTTCCTTTAAAACACCCCAAGGGAACACACTACAGCCTGCAGCCACCAGCACACACTGTTCTGTCATTTCCCCCAAGTCTTCTACTGCTGGCTGCTTCCTGTGACCTCTTAAAACACCTTCACCTCATCAGGTTCTGTTCTCTGTCCCACAATGCCTTGCCCTACTTCTGTGACCTCCCCCTAATGACAGGGCCACTTATACCTCTATGACCCAGCCCAGTGCAAGTATTCAAGTATTTGTGGAATGCCGAGAAGGGTGGCCACAAAAGGCTCATGAAAAGGAGAAAATCGGACAGTATAGGGGGAAGATTTCATAGTTAACCACCTTGTCTTCCTCTCAACCAAAGCCACCTGAAAGTCAACCACTAAAGAATTCTTGCTGCAGCAGTGGACACACGTGGAGTGCTTGTGTGTCAGGCACTATTCTAAGGACGTGGCACGTAGTAGGTCAGATTATTCTCCTAAGCCCCCTAGACCAACTCTCACTCCCCTGTAACAGATAAAGTAACAGGTACAGAAAGAGCGTGAACTCATTCAAAGGCACAGAGCTAACAACAGATGAGCCAGGATCCCAATCCCCAGACAGGCTGGGGTCTGGAGCCAGTGCTCTGATCACTCCACCAGGCCCAGTCTCTTAGGCTACCTCCTCATCACCTCCCACTGACACCTCAGCCCCATGAAGGGAACCCTTTGAGCAGGTTCCTGCCCGGGCCACCAGATATCTCTTAGCTGCAGACACCGGTGGGCACCCATGTGACAGCCCCAGCACAGTTTTATTGTTTACCTGCAGCAACAGAGAGATGCAAGGGGCTCAGAGGCTCCCTCTGTAGGGGAAACTCAAGCCCACCATCTACCACCCAGCCCCGGGCTCCCCCGCCCATGACCTGCACTTACCGTTTCATCTTCCAGCCTGAGCTGGAGGCTGGGGTCTCCCACCTTGTAGTCCTTGGTTAATTCTGCGGAGCGCCACACTTCATCAGGGTCAGGAATCCAGACCCTCGTGTGCTGGAAGATTAAGACAAGAAACTCAGAGAGAGCTTTCAGGTTTCTACATACGTGCTGCTCTGTGAGGGGCCCTCCGGAGAAGCTGTGAGGCTACCTGGACACATCTTCCTCCCTTATTTCCAATCAAAGGTGATCTAATACCGTGACAACAGGGAAGTAACCTGCAGGACTGGGGACAGAGAGCACTTTATAGATCCTAAGAGACCACCACAAATCAATTTAATTATAATTCTGCCAGCAAGACAGCCAGGCCTGCGTCTGGTTACGTCCGCCAGAGCTCGGCAACCTTGGGGGGGACAAAAAAGCAACGCAGAGGCAGCACCCATCATGCTGCCAACAACAGAACAACACATGCCAAGACCCAGACAGGAGAGTCAATCTTCCAATCCTGGGGACCTCTGCTCTGATATGCTGCATTCAGGGACAAAACCACTTTCCTACAGAAGTGAAAGAGAGTGGTCAGCATATTGAACGTGTACCTACATATTCCTAAATTGTCAGCAACCTCAGTTTATTTGTGCATTCTCTGAGCCACAAACATGCCCAAAAATCTCACTCCACCTCCCCCTGCAGCTATGAGATCTACAAGTTCATTTAGCTGGTGAACTCCCAGCAGGGAAGATCATAGCCCTTGGTGGGTGAGTGAGCCACTATGATCACCTGGGAACGTTGCACCTCAGACCAGCTCAGGAACAGGAAGGGACAGAAGAGCTTCCCAGGTGAGTGGAGTGCATGGCCATGGACACCACAGGTCTGAGGTATCAGGACCCCCCCCCCCCCAACCCCTGTGGCTGCTCCTGAAGGCACTCCTCACACCTGGAGACAACCTCCTCCATTTTGCAGGTATGTGATCGCCACAGGGCCTATTTGCACTTGGCTATGGATGCCCACATGCAGTTTCACGGCCAATAGACATGCTCAGCAATCCTGAAAAGGACAGCTGGAATGTGTGCCGGGGTCAGTATGACCGACCTCCCTTGTGGGGTGACAGCTCCATGCCCCAAACTTGTGGCCCATCGGCTGCCTGGGCACAAACAGCCAGCAGGCTTTTATTTTAGGCCTGCTGGGGATCAGAGCAAAACCCGACGTGGAACTCGAACCCACAAACTGTGAGATCGTGACCTGAGCTGAAGGATCTTCCTTGCTTGTGAGCCCGCTGGAATCACTGCATCTTTATGAAAGATGCTATCGAGCTTTACAGTAGCTTCTGCACTTGAGAGGAAGGCGTTAAGAGTGCTCTAAGCTACCTCCAGAACAAACTTTCAGCATTTGCCAGCCATAACTGTCAACACTGCTTCTCCCCTCAGGTGTTCCTGCCTCACCTCCTCCGCTGTGGCGGAAGCCTCTCTCTGCCCAGCTGCACGGACTTTGATGGCCCTGTTCCCCCCCACCCAGCTTCAGATGAGGGAACTTTCCTCAGCCTCACTACAGCCTCCTGTCCTTCTGAGCCTGCTTCCAGGCCTTTCCCTCCAGGCAGAGGGAATACAGCACGCCCAAGAAACTCTCCTCAAAGTCTCCACTCTACATAAATGGGGTCAGGAATGACTCAAGGGAAGAGTGATACAGAAGAATGAGGAAAATCTCAATAGGAACTGAGCAGAGGTAATGAAGCTATGTGGACATCAAGCTGTGTGACGTCCTGGAAGCCAAGGGGGCCCAGTCCCAGCCCACAGAGGTTCATCCAGCCTTATTCCTGCTGTCCAGATCCCACAACTGTACACTGCACTCAGCACCAGGGAGGTCTTATTCTAGGAGGGCCCATCCATCTACTTACATAAATCTCTCCAAATAGACTGAAAGCACCTAGAGACAGAAAATTGTCTCTATTTTCCTATCCCACAGAGCCCAGCGCAGCATCAGGGCCATAAGGGGACTATAATGATTGATACTTCAGAGCTTTGCTACTGTGAAAACCCCAGCCTCACCATTCCCTGGGGGCTGGTTAGAAATGTAGCACCTCAGCCTCCACCCACACCCACCAAATTGCTGCACACGCCAAGTATTCGCTGTTCTGCTCCTGAAATCTGTGCTCATACTTCCCCGCCTTTGTGCCTGGGTCAGCCAACTACAGCCCTGGGCCCAATCTCGTGTAATGCCTGTTATTGTGCAGCCTATGAGTTAAGAATGGTCTTTAAATGTTTAAACAGTTGCCAGGGAAAAAAGGGTGCTATCTAGATGATAACATGTCTGTTACATGAAAGTCAAATTTTGATGTCCATAAATTGTGTTGGGACACAGCCACACATTCCCTTTGCATACGGTCTATGGCTGTTTCTGCACTTTGAGGATGGTTGTGTAGTTGTGACACAGGCCCTATTAGCCCAAAACTGAAGGGTTTACCATCTGGCCATCACTGTGAAGGTGTGTTGCCCTCATCCTTTACAATCCTGGTTTCCTCAGTCCAGAACGCCCTTCCCTCATCTGTCCACGTGGGCGGAGTCCAAGTCCCAGTGCCCCGTCCTCACTGGACTTGCCTTCCCTGGGTGAGCCCTACCCCACTCTAGGTGCAGCAACCCCTTCTACAATTAACTTCATGGTTTGGCAGTCATTTCTTTCACATCAGTTTCAGCTTACTACTTCAAGATCTTTCTGACACACAACTGGGCATCCCCATATCCCTGGCAATATAACAGATGCTCTATCAATTGTGCTGAGACAGGAATCAGCAAGTAACACACTTATGAGGCACCTGAATTACATGGAAAACACCATGGGTAGCACCATGTAATCAGCACAAACGTGGAGATCTGTACCCTGACCTTAAGGAACATACCATCGAGTTGGGTAGAGAATTCACATAAAAATATACTCCAAAGAGTGATGTGACCGATCCCTGAAGAGAGTAATAATTATTCAGCAGGGGCAAGCACGACACGAAAAGGGAAGCAGCTATGATTGATGCAAACTCCACAAATAGAGGGCCAAATAAATGCTCCTCTTTTTAAAGGATGTTGTGTTACAGGCCTGATCAAGCAAGTTTTAGATTCAAATCAAGTAAACATTTGGGCACCTAATATGTACCAACTCTGTGCTAGATGCTGTCCTATTTCCTCCATCTCCACAATGAAGACACACATGGCCATGTGCAGAGAGGAGAGCAGCTCACTGTGAAACCAGAAAGAAGGAAACCCTGCACTGTGATGGTACGGGGTGGGGAGGGTGATGTCTGCAAGCAGGCCTCCCCACCTTTATCCTATTTCATGGATTCTCGGCTTCAAGTGCTCACGAATTACTGAGCAGAACTGGACACCCAGTGTCATGCGTGCCACCTTGATGAGCAATTAACAGGACTGCCAAGGGCAATTTTAACCATCAAATTTTGCTTTACATGCTGACTTAGTGAACAACCCACCATGCCTTCCCTCTCCAGACCTACCCACCTGAGGAAGACCCATTGCCTCTGGACCCCTGCCCCCCGCCAAACAAGGCAGGACATGATCAATGCAGAGTAAACAGCCAAGAGAACAGGCTAAGCATTTGGAAGGGGTTTCCCTTGGAGCACTGGGAATGTTCTCCAACTAGATAGAGGTGGTGGCCGCACAGCCCTGCAAATGTATCCATGTCCCTCAACTGCTCACTTTAAATAGTTCATTTCACCTTATGTGAATTTCACCTCCACTAAGCATACAACTGTTTTTGTTGCTGATGATGCCAACAGTATCCTGTTGGCATAGTTCCTCAACATCTAATGTGGAAGAAACAGCAAGATAAAATACATTCTTTTAACAGAAAACCATCGATTCTACAGGCCAGATAGAAACTCCACAGCCAGGGTTCTGTGTTGCCTCTCATTTTCTTACCTTCAAGGAATTCCCTCAAACAAGTCTGACCTCTACCAGGTTTCCTGGAGGTAGATTACAGGAAAGATAAGCTGACTCACGTAACCCAATTACAGCGCCACTGAACTTGTCACTATCCCGTTTTAACCATGCTTAACTCCGTCATATCTAAAGAGATAGAAATCTGACTTGATAACCGAAGAAAAACTTATTTTTCTTTTGGAAAGAGCCCTGAGTACTAACCAGAGAAGGTAAAGGTCCCTGTGAATGGAGATGCATCAGCAGGGAGAGCTATTCTCCAGCCGCCGGTTCCTCCCGCCCAGGTCTGTCTGCAGGGGCTGCAAAGGCAGCTCTAGGCTGGAGGGAGGAGTGACCATGGCAGTAATGCTCAACCCCAGCTGCACCTTACAACCACCTGAGAAGCTTCTAGAGCTTCTACAGCTTCCTATGCTAGGTAACCCTCTAGGACCAATTACATCAGTCCCTGGGGTGTGGAAACCAGGCAGTTTTCAAAGCTCCACAGGTGCATCTGACACCCCCCAAGTTTGCAGGCTCATGGTTTCATTTGCGAACTTATTTGTGGTCACCACAGACCCCCATGTGCCCAGAGGGCTCTCCTTACCCACCTGTGGCTGAACAGGACATCCCAGCCCGAATATTCTTTGATCTTGAGCTAAAGCATGATCTCCAGAGAGTCCCTGCTAAAGTGTACGTGCCCTGTCAAAAAGGGCACCCAACACTTACCCATCTGCAGGGATCATCATGTAGTCCAGAAGCATGTCTGTGTGGGCTCCACAGCCAGACAGCCTGGGTAAGAACCTAACCACCACTTATTAGCCTGGGTAAGTTGATGAGTAGCTCTGAGCCTTGGTTTCCTCAGCTGTACAACACAGGTCAAAGTTAGGTGTACCTCATGAAGTGGTCCCAAGAATAAATGTGATCCCATAGCATTAGAGAATTATAAGCATTCAGCAACAGTGACTATGAGAACAGTGTACACTGTGTCATCTAAGAATGACAGGCCAGGAAGCAGATTCTGTCGACTATTAGATAACAGGAAAACAGCAGGCCTAAGGGGTTTCCTCCAGGTTAGTGGGATCCTTTCGATGTCCTGCAATTTATGGTTCATAGATAGCCAAGCCTTGCCTAAAAACCTACTTAAACTTCAAAACTCCAAGAGAAGGGATTCTCAAGGCTGGATGGCCTTTAAGAATTATCTGC